CGTCATCGTAAGGGCTATCTGTCGTCATATCACGCAGTCTAAAGCTTTTTCTCTTTGCAGTCTTGCACAGAAAAGCGAGAAGCTACATAGCTGCCTGCCTGCCCCGGTATCTTATCGTCCCCTCAATTCATTTCGCGTTTCAGGCACCTTGCCCACCAGTGCTGGGGGAAGGACAGGCGTCCACATTCACGCTGAGCCTGCCGTATGTTGTGGCTTCTTTGGTCAGGACTCATCGATGCAGCTGTGGACTGTGCCGGTGGACGCTGTGAAGCCCTGGCACAGAGCTCAGAAGCCGCTTTGGGCTGCTTTGCCCGGAAAGTCCTTCTTTGCGGATCGAGCACTCCGAGCTGTGGAGAGCTTGTGAGCTCAGGTCCTCCATGGCCACGGAAAGCGAATCAGCTCCTGCCACCTTGGCAGCGAGGATTCTGCAGGTAGGGATCTCCACAGCATGTGTGAGACTTGCTCAGCATGGGCTCGGGAGGTAGCTACCGGGCAGATGTCTCGGATTCCTGGCTGGAGGACGGAAATCGGGGTCTCGCAGTGAAGCTGCACTGTGTAGCCTCGGGCCTGCCAAAACACGGCCCTAAATCTGTGAGCTTGTGCGCGCAGACATGGGCCCCGAAGCAATTGGGGAACTAGTCGGCCCAAACAGAAAACAAGCTGACAAGTAATCTGCAGCATCGTCGATGCTCCTCTTTCAAGGCTTCTGCTTATCGTGTAATCCTAGTGACTAGTTTTCCAAGATTGTGGTTGTGTAAACGGAAGCGCACTGATGCTGATGACGGTCTTAGGCATCAGTGTTTCGCGTGCTTATCTTTTCAGCTGCCGCCAGCTACCTCCAGTGCGGCTTACAGTGCGAGAGTCTTCCCAGGTTCATTTCACAACCGGCGCACCTTCTCTATAAACACCTCGTTATTGTCCGTATTTTGGACAATTAGCCTAGTTTTTCCTTTGTTGTGAAAGATGTTGTGCTCAGCTGGTTCTACTTAAAACCAGTGAAAGAGGTCTTGCATCTGCTGTGGCATTCTGCCTATTGATGCTTGCTTAGCCCGCCGTATGCTTAAAATGTTGGGAGTAGAGGTTAGAATGAGGGGTAGAAGCAGGTGCAACATTACGTGCTGGCTTTTTGGGTGCCTGAAATGTCGGTTAACGGCAGGTGGATAGAGAGAGGTTACACATAGTGAGGCTCAAGAGTTTGCTTGTAATGTAGCCGGTGCAAGCCTTTGGCAGCCTTTGCATGAGCTTCCATAGACTGCAGCATTGTTTAATAGAAAGGCGTGTCGTGGACACGTGTTTGGGTGTGCACGACACGTCTTTCAACATCGACTTGGCACACGTTTAGGGTTTTAGGTTATTGAAATCACGAAAGCTAGCCTCGGGGCTAGCGGAGTTTCCTATCAACCGAACACGAGCCGCCCATCATGCTCATGATGCTCGCCTCCCGGGCGCGGCCGGGCGCCAATGATGCTCATGATGCTCGCCGCGCCGGCCCGGTCAGGCGGGAGGATTGGTGAATTGGTGAACCGGTGAAGTCGTGACTTGGAGACTGCTCCTTGGTGAGTTCGTATCTCGCTAGCAATGAGCTTTGCAATCATGCATCCACATGTGTTTCGAAACTGTCTCGGTGTTTCGAAACTGTTTCTGTTAAGCGAGACTGTCTTCAAAGCTATTGTGATTCAGACTCAAAATATCGCAGCAATGTCGTCTAACGTGAATGTGAAGGGCACGGTGTCAATGTCCGACGGCAAAGTCAGTTTGGTGTTGGAACGTGATGTGCCACAAGCTCCTCGAACAGAAGCACCAGACGCACACAACAAAGTCACAAACATTCGCGACATGATCAAAGACAAGATCAGCAACGGCACAATCATGGTTCATGAAAGTCGCCAGCCTCCAACCACTTGCCTTGCTGTTACAACTGTCGGTTGTTTGATCGCCTGAGTGCGCACGTACACTCTTACAGATTCATGCATGTTACGAAGCTCCTCCTTGTCCGACATTCTATCCACTGCTTTCCGTTTCAAGCCGGTTATGAAGTGATGACGAGTGTCCCAACAGAGTGAGCCGATCGCAAAGCTTCGAGATGGCCGGTTTGCTGCAAGGAGGAGGCCTTGAGGTTCGCGGTCCTGTGCATCCGTGGCCGTGCCTGATAGGTTTTCTAGCATCTCCGCTCCTGCCAAGGGGGGCCGGCTCCTTTCATCAGCAGTGCATCACAAGGGCTCTACTTGGAAAAGGAGTGGTGTTTTGGGGTTCTTTGCGAGTTCCGATCAGAACCAAGCCTGTGTGCTCTTCTTGAAACTCAGAATTGTTGTTTTTGATTTGTGCAGTGCCAGCTCTGGCGAATGCATGCTGGCATCCAGTCTGAAACAGTCGTCCGGGTCCTCCTGTCCGTGCACCCGAACTTTGTCGATGTGCACAGCGCATGTCAATGTCGTCCCTTAGCATGGTCCGCGTATGGCTGGATTTGTTTTGCATCATGGAGAATGCTTCGTGCTTTTGAGGAGCTCCGAGTAGGTGCTGACGCAGCAAGCGGACAGCCACATGCACGAGTTGAGAAGGACCGGGTTCTTTTGGTATTTTTTCGTCCTTACGGTCAGAAGAAGTGTGTCCCAAACGAGCCAGGCAGTGACTTTGACTGCCGACGCCTGGTGCAAAGGCTGGGCTGGCCGATGGCTGTGCAACGCGACCACATGCAAACGATTGAACGATCTCTGATCTCGCTACAATTTTGGATTCCAGGCCAAAGTGCGTGGGCCGGCTGCGTGCTGCTTGGCACTTCCCGTGGGCGTGTTGCTACTTGCTCGCAGTGGTTTGTTTCATGGGAGGGTCTATGTCCAGGGCCGTCTAGATTCAAGTGACTCAAGACTTATTTTCTCCAAGGTTCGCCTGGCCGAGAAAGCTGGCCGTTCCGGGCGAGTTGCGCCTGTGCCACTGAGCCACAAACACGATGCACTGACATGGACAGCAATTCATCAGGGTCGTCGCCTTGCTGCAGCGAGTTTGTACGTCGCAAGACGGCATCTTGAGGCAGGCGCTGGTTGAGAAAGAGGAAAGCTCCTGGACGCCAGGTGCGCTGGGCCAAATTTGGGGGTAACTTCAGTCTGATGCGGGAGGTGCGCTGACCCTTGGCTTTCAGGTGCAGTGAGAGCTGTTGGCGATCACCACTTCGCAGTCTTGGCGGCAAACGGTACCAGGCAAGGTGCTGCCGTCAGAACTACATCTCGAAGCCAGAACCGTCTGCAACAGCATGCAGTGCCGGCGAAGACACCTAAGCACTTCACACCTTATCATAACGTGTCTAAATCAGGGTTGATCGATTCAGCATGTCCCTGTGAAATTGGTATTCCACATCCTACCCGAATCCATTCCCCAGCTTCGGGGTTTCGATCCGAACAGTCCCCTCCAGCAGCTTGGGTATGAGGCCCAACTTTGCTGGTCAATGCAGGGGGTGTGCTGAGGGAACCTCCCCACGCTTGGGCCAAATCCGCGCCCCGCACCGGGTTTGTCAAGGCATCTCGCGGGAGCCTTGAAATGCACCCCTTCTGATGCTCTTACGGGGTTGGGTCGGACCTTGAACCGGCAGTGTTTCGACCGCAAGTTGTGAGCGCAACCTTCCGCTGTTTATTCTGTAGCATCCTCAGGAACCGCATTACACTCGGCCGGAACGTCTTCCGCTTCTTGAGCTTTTGTCCCCACCCCTGTGCGCAAGATGAGGTTGGGCATTGGTGGGTGATGAGCGGGCCCTGAAATTCGGGTGTCAGGGTTCCCTCGGGTTGCCGAAACATCCACGAGCGCGGCAGGGTGGAAAATGGGCTCTGCAAGGTCGCCCGGTGCGTGTCATGATGATCGGGCACCACGCTGGGAATCTGTGTCTGTTGCTTTGTCTTAGAGTGTTATTGTGCTACACGCATGCTTTCCTGTTGTTGATAGGCTTCACGTTCACCGGAAGTCCGATGGGTACCTCGATGGCAATCTTACCTTGGATGCGGCGGCCAGCGGGTTCTGTGCCGGTGGTGGACATCTGTACTTTCTGGTGCCTTGGCTAGCACGTGCAGGCCGTGCAGGTTGATCTTCTCTGTGTGTGGGTCTGTCACAGTCTCTCTCTCTCTCTCTTCCTTTGCTTGCCTGCTCGGCTTTGTCTTTCTGCCAGCTTGCCTGCCGTCTGTGTCTGCGTCTGTTTGTGTCCGTCAGTGTCCCCACTTCTCCCTTCTCCATCTCCTCCCTTATGGCTTGCTGACCGTCGGACTTTTTGTGAGTCTGTGAGTCTCTTACTCTCTGAGCCTCCAGCCCTCGATCTTGGGAAAGGCCTTGCAATCCGCAATGCTTGGTTCAAACCTTGCTTTCTGCCAAAAGCGAGGAAGCCGGTCCAAGTCCCCGTATTTGGCGATTGCCGCTGCCGCGCACACTTGGCGGTGCTGGGAGCGTTGGACTTGCAGTGGGCCCAGCAATCTGTTAGAAACACGTTCCAATACCTGAAATCTGCCTTCCAAGGTCCAACTTTTCTAAGTGCCTGATCCGCAGGCACGGCGCTCCTCTGGCCCGGCAGTAAAACTGTTGCGGCCAGTACGCTTGTTCTCAAATCTCCAGCACTCGCATCACATAAACAAAGTGCTTACCGAAGTGCGAGTCCTTGTTCGTCCTACATGAAGACTTTATCGAGTGCAAGTTGGCAAGATTTGATCTTTTGCCACAAGATTGTTGTGCTCTTCATGGAAGGAGGCATGTGCAGGCCTTTACTCGCGATATTCATCGAGGCGACAAACCTTTTTAAATGATCAGTTAAGACGGTAACCCAGCCTGAGAAAACCTGCACGCGTCGGATAGATGGCATCCGTCTGGATCACACGCCTGCCCCAGCTCGGGAAAGTGGGTCCTGTGTTCTCCCGACAGCATGCAGCATCTGTCTGTTGGACCACTCATGTTTGCGTGAGAAAAGTAGGCCGCACTGACAGATCCTCAAACGAAGCAGCAAACGAGTTTGAGTGGGCCACGGTGGTCAGGTATGGTGGCTTTGGAAGCAGTTTGCAAGCACTTCGGCAACGACGTCCACCCGGAGTCAGAATGGATCTACATGCATCAGGAGCACGTCTAAAGTCCACCAGTGCACCAGGATGTTGAAGCCAAGACATGAAGGAGCGCGACTTCTTCATGCACATGCACCTCTCACACGAGGAGCAAGGAAGCCGTCTGCCGGTCAAGGCCAAGGGTTGCAAGTGTAGCGCTTTCCCACCTTCCGCATCCTTCCATATCCTTCCACTTGCTTTCCCAATGACAATGCTCCTCAGCTTTCGAGGTCTGCGATGGGGAGGTGGCTACATAAGAAGTGTCGAGGGTTCATTGGCGAATTCACAATGATGCCAATTGCTTTGCCAGTTTCCTGTTGCAGCAGCTCACGAGCATGCAGAAACCGTCGCATGCGACAGGCTTCCCAACAAAGTGAGCCTGTTCCGGGGCCGCAGGGGACGTCGACCATGGTGGCCAACGCACCAGGGCATCATAATGACAAGCAAGTGCAGCTACTGTTGCTTTTTCGAAATCGTAAGGGTTGAAGGTGCTAAGGCTGTGAGCATCGCAACGTGCTGTATGTCTCTGCTTGTCGTGGACAACAGAAAGATCGAGCACACCTGGGATGGCCTTCAGCGTTCTCCATCAAACCCATGTCTTGGGGGGGATCCTTTGACGGTTAACCTCGCGTCCTCACTGGCGGGATCTACAGAAAGAATGGACCGGTTTCGGCATGGCCTCACGGCCTCAGAAGCCAAGGCGCGGTTTGTTCATCATCGACCTTTGCTTTGGAAGACCTTCCGCATGAACGACGAGGCGCAGACAAGACACCGACCTGTTGGGCCTTGCAGTTCTGCCATTCCACTCTTGCTGGATTCCCCCTGCATACGCGTAGGTCATGATGGCACAGGACCTCTTGCTGGGAAGCCTCGTCGGATGAGATTTGTTTCAACTGCCATTTGGGAGGTTGGGGTGCAGGCCCAATCATGGAGCTTGGTACTGCATGGCAGCTTATGCAAACCGTGCCCATGATTGAGAACGGAGGAGAGCTCAGCGTTTTCGAAGCGGCCAGAGGTGCCGCCCATGCCTGTGGCTGACCGCCCCTGGTCTGCAGGCCAGAAAGAGTTGTATGGGGATAGCTGCAGGCATTTGCTTGCCCGCGAATCGGCGTTCGAACAGGAGACGTCCTTGTGCCGGTTGGAAGCTCCGCAACGCCAATGCCGTATGAAGGAGGAATCTCCGATGTTTCAACTTGCTGCCTTGAGAGTACTGCGCTCGCGCTCTTTCCACTTGTCCGATGACAGCTGATGCCGCCTTGCCGTGGAGGCGCACTCGAGAAGCCAGCCACACCTTCAGTCGAGACCCAAACACTGGTCAGAGACGCGGCAGATTGCTGATAGTTGTGAGCAGCTCGAGGCGAAGACGAAGGTCGTGAGTTTCAGCCATCTGAAGGCGGGCTGGGCTCATGGCTCTGCCTGTGTGCAACCGAAGTTGCTTTGCCCGGCCCAGGACTCAGCTGTTTCGATGAAGGAGGCAGTGAACCGGCCAAAGCCTACCACGCCAAGGACAAACTGCGTCTAAGGTGATGAGTGAACTTGATGGCTTCGAGCCAGGGAGCACTGTAGGCGGCTCAAGGGGGTGGACTTCAGGCATCTTCGGCCCGCTTCTTTCCGAACTGATAAAGTCAAATTCAGTTTTCTATAGAGTGTGCGAGCTGCAAGCTGTGATGTCGTGCCGAAAAATGCTGTTTGTTGGGCAGGACTCCCGAAGCGGCTCCGGGGGAGGGTTTCAAGCGGAGGCCGCAAATCAAGCTTCGCCCCTCGGCACTGAACCGACCCGACAACTGGGCGCTTTGGTCGCGCTGTTGAGTCACGAGGCTCCAACTCACGCACCTTCCAGATGAGTGGCATCGAGGCCTCAGCAGCCTGCGGCGCCATCAACCGGTGAGGTGCAGCTCGCCTCTTGCTTCAGGTCGGCATCAATGAAAAGCGAGCCGTGAAGGAGGCGAAATCCAAGGCTTCGGCAGTGTTAGGCTCCGGCTTGAGGTCAAGCGAGTAACGCGCGCCTGTTCAGGCATCCTATGCTGCATCTCGAGAGCCCTTGGTCACTCCACGCGATGTGCCAGGAGGCTGGTGTCCTGTTTCGCAGAGGTGTCACTGTCAGAGGCTTGTGGTGGTGAGGTCAGCGCACGACGGCACGGCAGCGGGCTGCCTCGGCAACTGGACAAGCATCAAAACAGAAGAAGCTCTTGAAGCATGCGCGTGCTAGGAATTAATCAATCCGTCAATCGACCCATCTATCTGTCTGTCTTGAAATATTGCAGATGTTTTGACAGGTAGAGTATGTCTCGACAGGCTATGGGGATTTATGGGGTGAACATGCCAAGTGGGCTGCGTGCTTTAGCCATGTGGTCTTCCTGCAACCATGTTCATCAGCAGCGCGAACTAATCTCTGCAAAACTATTTGACATCGTAAACGGTAAACTCTAAAGACTACAAACTTCAAAAATAAAGATTGCAAAGAGCTGCTACTTGGAAAGAAGGTATGCTCTTATTCAGTAGTTTTTCCAACTGTGCCAGGTTCTCGTATGTGACGGTGCATGCACGTATACAGCCTGTACATGTAATATGCGTACATGCATCATGCACACAGGCGCATACTTGCATCTGCACGCATACAAAATGAGTGTAGGTTGTGAGCAGTAATCTTCGCTGAGATTCATTTTCGGAGTTCTGTGAACTGGGTTTCCACAGTCTCGAGGCCAGAAAACTCACCGCCACGGTTTCTGCGCTGGGCCCTGCTGGCTGCTCCTTGGTCCAGCAGCCGGCATGTGCAGGCGATACAAATAGAATTTTCTCTGGGCAGATCATAGAGTCGACAGATGCATCCATGGGCACATAAATTCTGGTGAAGCCCCAGGCGCCCTGTTTGCGCTAGCCGCATGGGCTGAGCAGTAATCAGGCTACCAGTGGAGGTGAGCGAGAGTATAATGCGGCAACTCGAAGCGCCAAAAGCCGTAACCCCACGCTGAAACACAATTTACGCTGAAGCAATAGCAATCAGAGCCAGCATCGAAATGAAAACGCCACGAACCATTCGGTATGGCGCTACCCATGAATGCCATTGCGAAACTAAACAAAGGCACATGCAAGCACCCAGCAAAATCCCAGCAAGCCAGAAACCTCAAGCTGGGCAGATTCCTCCAAGGGGAGGACGAGGCAAATTGCAAGCTGTACACCCCACACGGCTGACATTCAAAAGCAGCAGTGCCAATCACTACCATGTGCAGTCACTGCGTATACACATGGAGTATCATGTATGTAGTATTTGTTCAACACCGGATCGAAATCAAACTTGACATCCGGTTACAATGTGATTGAAGCCATCTCGGCCAACGCCACGAGAGCTCGCCGATGATGCGCATCCAAGCTTTGTTTGAACGATGTTGAACGAGTCGCCAAACATCAATCCCCACAGGCAGCTGGGTAGTTGGACGCCCCCCAGGCTTCGGCTGAAATGGTGTCCAAACGTCAGACTCTGCAGGCTGCTGGGTAGTTGGAAGCCCTCCAACCACTGGTTGCACGTGGCCAAATGTCAAAATCTGCAGGCTGCTAGCCAAACGTCAAACTCTGCAGGCTGCTGGTCAGCTGGATGCCCGGTTGAACACATAGCCAAGCGTCCAACTCTGCAGGCTGCTGGGTAGTTGGATGCTCTGGCTGTGCTTTCGGCCGGAATACCATGTGAGGGACATCATCTCGTTCGGGGCAGCTACATCTGCATCAGGCAGAGTCTTCTCATCGAGTAGGCGCTCCCAAAGCATCGCGGCACGACCCGCCCCAAGCTTCCACACCAAGTGCGAAATCTCGTGCTGGACTTGACGTCAGCAGCAGCTGTCCCTTCTCGGTGGTTCCATGGGGACTGGGGCTCTACGACCTGCTTCGCTGATGAGGAAAGTCGGGCCCTATACAAGCCAATTGTGGTTTAAACTTTACACAGAAAAGTTGCACAAGTCATGCATGCTTTTGATGTCTCGTAGTGGAACTCAGCCGACACTGTCCTTCAAGGTGAAGAAAGCAAGGCCACATCCGAACAAGTCAAGGCCAAGCAGAAGCCGGACATGCCCCACAAGGACGGAGCATTCCGGCTGTGTTTGCACACTGGCAACTAAGAAGCTATCCATCATCAATCTTGTATGACATGGGTGCATGCATGCTCTTGGTTCTGACTCGTTGCGGATGTCAGGGAGTCCAGCCGGCCGAAGTCATTCTTGTGCTTCCGCGGCAAGCAGAAGCACCTTGGCTCATTCGCCAGACTTCAAGTTCTTGTTGCTTCCGAGTACCGACGCTGGCAACTCCAACAGAATGATTGTTGCGACTGTCCGATGCAGTTCATTGGCCGTATTGGCCGTTTCCGCATCGGCGCAGGCCAGCTTCCCTTCCTCAGACAGCATTGGCAGCTCGGACGACCTATGTGGAAGCCCGTCCGTTACTCACAGCCCCACAAAACAGCCAACCAGCACATCCTCGAGTTTCTTTGGGATGTGGAGGATTGATGGACTCGGATTGGTCGGATTGAAGTTGGTGTTGGCTGTTCGCAAGGCAAGCAGCTGAGTCGTAGCGTGGTCTGTGCCGAGGTGTCGTCCGGCGCTTGAGTGGGCAGGAGAGTGAACTGAGTGTGACACCACAGGTGTCACTCGGCGCCCGATCGTGAGCGTCGTGAGCCGTGATGTTAACTTAAATCGCAGGAACTAGTAACAAAGTCGGGTTCATTGATTTCATGGAAGCAGTCGAGAACCATTGAGAATGCACCAGCAACACATTGGTTCTCCATGTGCAGAGGCATTTCGGTCCTGTGTCAGTTCCCCAAGGGAACACTGAGGGACCTGCAGATGCCGGAAAGATGGAGCTCGATGGCGGCCACACGTGCATTTTCGAGTTTCACATGCTGAAAGCCTACGAAAGACTCTCTTTGCAATGCGCACGCAGGAAGACATCCTGAACGATGTCGACAGCATCTCATCGGCAGAGTGTACTCCCGAGGCAGCTCTGGTCCAAATGTTGAATGCTGTGCATAGTCTTCTCAGCGCGCAGTCAGGTGGGACAATGCTTCCGATCCACTTCGTCCATGAAGGTGCTTCGGCATGGGCGAGTGCCAGCCATTTAATCTCGTTAACTTATTCCTTTCTCACTGCATTATCGGAAGCTGGACGGGTTCGACTTCGGCTTTAAGCGAACTTTGGTATCTGGAAGCATCGGAACAGATGTCGCAATAAGCATCAGAGTGCACCATAGAGCACGCAAGCTCGCTGTGCCCACATTTGGTAGAGCTGCCCGCAATACCTCTACACCGTGTCGATCAACGTGCGTATGCAAGATACATCACGCAACATCTATTGTCCTCGTGTCTGGTGCAACTTTTCTCATTGCGCAGCAATTTTGGCAACTCTGGTGCGCATATTGGATCGTGTTACCGTGCAGACACTGTGTCAAACTGACACCTCGCTTGCTGCAAGCGGAGCGCAGGTTCTCCTGGCGGCAGAAGAGCATCAGCAGGTGCAGTGCAAAAAGGAGTCGTTCAGGGTTGGTGGCGCTTCTTCAATTTGTCTGGGAGGCGACGCAGAGCTTCTCGGAGAGCGAGGCCACCGTGGCGTCCGAGGCTGTCGCCCGCGGGACGGCGGGACAGCACTGCACGACTATGCACGACTCTAGTCCTTCTGGATCGCGGACAGCATGTGGAATCTTGCAGAGGGTTAAGCGCATGAGAAGCCCCAGCGGTCCAGATTCTTCCTGACGAGAGAGCTAGAGTGTTCAGACGAACACTCTTCTTGATCTTCTTGTAAGGAACGCTTCCATAGCCTCGCGTTGAGACGGCTTGAGTCTGAGCATGAGCGGCGAGTTTGTGGGCGAGTTGCTGTGGATTCTTCTGTCGTGTCTGCCCGGATCCGACAAACTATCGCACCGAGCCTGCCAATGCTTTTTGTGACAAGTAGTATCAGTTTCAGTCATCAGCTCTCCTGTCTGGCTTGTCAACGAACATTGTGCCCGGAGTCTGTCGAGTTGTGCAACAATATGCTGTTTGCGTCATCACACTTCCAGCTGTTCCATTCCGTTCTTCTCTACTGTATTCAGCATTTGATTGCTCAGGCTGCGACGGCTTACCACATAAATCTAGAGTGTTCACAGAGGAAAATTTGTGCACTAGCAGCATCCTTGCGGTAGGCAGAGTCGAGCCAAGAGCCCCAAACGACTTGAAACACAGACGAGCGGATCAGAATCCAGCAGCCACTTTTCGAATGAACGACGAAAGGGGGAGGGAAGCGGCTTCGGAAGTTGAACAGTGGTGACAATACAAGGCAAGGCACGCTTCGAGGAAGACGCCCTCTCAAGCAGGAAGAACCAAGATGCGCTGCTTTTCCGAGCTCAGGTCAGAAGCTCCTAGCGCCCCTAGCTGCCACCAGCAGAGCCAGGAAGGCCACGGCATCAGAGGTGTCGAAGTTGATCTGCGCTTGAACTGAGTCTGCTCGGGTACTAGTATGTGCCTTCGTCAGGCATCCCGGCCGTCAAACAGACTGTGCCAGATGCTTAGCTAGACGGTCCTCTCATCCGTAGCTTAAGGTAGTTTGCTTTCGAAGCTGCACTAAAGGGCCAGAGAATAGAAGCAGGCTGAGTTGCTTGATGCTTGGTCTGCCGAAATCACAAAATAAAACTGCAAAGACCAGGCCCTCTCCACGTAATTTGCCGAGCCTGCAATGGCTGGGTGCTGAGGACGTTTCAGACTTGCCCATGCCCTCCTGCCGCTGTACCCCCTTGCGTTTGAAAAATTGTATCCCGAGCACTCACGAAGCACCGAGGCTACAAGACTTGTCTGCACCTTATGCCAGTCCTGGTCGATCACATCGTCCACAGTTCAGCTTGGCTTCAACTCCCCCTTGCATTTGAGGTTGAGACGAACAGTTCTCATGACCGGGGAGGAGACTCAGTGGAGCCTATCCTGCTGAATAGGGTCCCTCAGTGTCTACAGAGGCAGCAGCATCAAGTAAACGCAACCTACCACATCCGGGAAACATGGAACCCGGTTGAGAACTGGTCAAGAAAACTCGAAGCTGGAACCTAGCCCCAAACGGTGTGCAATTTCCAAATCGCAACGCATTGACAACTTTGACATAGAAAGTATATCCTGGAACCCAGCTTGGGAAATGCACTTGTTAGTCGCATATCCAGCAAAGTTGTTTGCCTGACACTGAGCTGCACTGTGAAGACGGGATGGATGTACTGTTTCGTCAACAGTAGCAGTAGCAGTAGCAGTGTAGCAGTAG